TAATGAAACCTTCACCCTTTCAACTGCTGCACCTGCTTAGGTTCTTACACTGGTTTTGCCCCAGTGGGTCGTTAAATTCAGTCACCTAAACTAAGAATTTGATTCATTCTAGAGCTAAAAAAAGTCAAAAGGACACCTCCAGGAACAATACTATGACGAAGGCATTTAACACTAAACTGTCACAAACATAGTTGACATGGCATAAGGATCTAACAAGTGATTATGCCAAGGCAAGACAAAAAGATGTCTAATTTTGAGTCTTCGTGACTCAGTTTACTGCTGTACACGAGAAAAGTAGGTCACGTTTTCACAAAATATGTCATATTGAGTGTTTAATCATCAAACATGTTCACAAAGCACCGATTTTTGGGAGAATTAACAGCATTTTGAAGGACAGAATTGTAGTTCAGAACTCCCTTGATAAATTGAATGAAACTCTACCCTTAATAGGAATAAAACATAAAGACGGAAAATAAGGAATCGGGACAAAGGCAGCAATACCTACAGGAAAGGGTTTAGGACTTTTATCAGGCACCTCCTGCACAATACTCAGATGCTCCTGCAATAAAGGCAAGTTGCATACACTTACAGGATTCTGCATAAAGACAATGGCAGTCCAAAGGATTACTGTATCCAAATTCCATATGATGTTATGTTGAGGGTCCAGACTGACTACTGTGTACAATTCTGAGGAACATAAGACTGAAATCTCAGCTTAACTGCAGAAACAGCACAACTGAAAGAAGATGCCCTATGACAAAAATGTAGAAATATTAACAAGGAAAAGATAAAGAGTGTGTGGAATTTTAGGGAGACTAAAGGAAACTTCAGAATAACTGCTTCATAAGATATCAAGGAAGTTCTAAGTTTAGGAAGACAATCTCATAAGAGAGCAATTTAACCACTGTTAGTGAAGACTCAGTTTAGATGCTAGTAAGGGCTCTACAACGCTGTCCTTAAATTTTCTATAAAATATAATTTATTGAAGGGTTTAAACAGGCCACTTGAAGAGATGAATTTGTTGTTGTTGTTGAACACTTCAGAAGAGATTCACAAAACATCCACTAAGAATTTTCCTGGAATATTTATCCTTCCTCAGAGAACAAGGAAGATAGATGAGATGAGGTTCAGCACTAAATCTCTATTATTCTACATTATTTATCAGACTGAATCTATTACACTGCATAGAGATGTTGATTAAAAGGCCTTGTATAGATAGTGTTGTATAGTCAATCAGTGCCTGATTGTTGCCCTTGAGTATAATTCCCCTTTGAAACAATTTGCAGACTGTTGCTAAACATTAGGAAAGAGAAGGATCAGCGGTCTGCATGACAACAGTTGGGAATGGCTTGTGTAAAGAGGCCAATGGGACACAATACCCAAAGCTTTCAGAGTGCCTCACAGCACCCCTGAGTTGTACAATTACCACTGGCACGAGTAAGAGCTGTTTCATTACATCCCCAAACTTCTGTGACTGAATTTGGCATCTTGAATTCCCCAGCCATATTTAATTTAGCTATTTAACGTATGTTTGAGTGTTTGTGAGAGACAGTGTGATTTATTTTAAAGCTGAATTGTGCCCTGTGTGTACTACAAGGACACGGAAAAAGAAGTTTGGCTGCATTAAATAAACAAATATGAGTAAAATCAGATTTTAAAGCCTCAGTTGTCTCAGAGGAAAATAAATTTAGAATGGTGGAGTCCAAGCCACACTTCTCTAAATGCCTCTACTTGATGGCAAGTATTGAGTTAACCAAAAACGATACAGAAACCTGTCCCACCCAGAATTTTAACAACTGTGGTATTTATAGGACCAAGACCCTGCAGCTTGATGATTAATGAAGATTAACCATACCTGCTGACTTGCAGAGTCATCCAAGAGCAAATGAGCCACGAGGAGGTTGTAAAAGGCAGAGCAGAGCCCCTGCAGGTCCAGCCTTCGCAATGGGCTGCAGCACAACCTGCTGCAGCTCGACTGTGACCCCGGTAAACAATGCTTTCCCAGCCTAAGCCTACCGTGTCTGTGCCAAAACCTCAGGTGTTAGTCTTCATTTAACACCTTGCTGCTCCAGCACATGCTCCTCTGCAGTACTTTGAGGTGCTAGACCCCCGACCAGTTTAACACTCAATAGCCGTGCAAAACAGAAGCCGCAGCTCCGGTGGGATCTTGCCCTCAGGACATACTGTGGATTCAGGTTCTCTCCACGAAAGACTTCTTAAATCATACTTCATAACTTGGAAGTGGCACTCACAGGCTTGAGAAATCAGGTGTTTTACAGTCTCTAAGTAAGTCATGGAAGGAAAGCATATGTCTTATTTGGTCAGCTTTCATTTCTTTCTATCTTGGTTATGCTGCAAAATTTTCTAACGTGAATGAAGCACTTGCTTCGTAAAGCGCTTAGTTTTGGCTATTATTTGATGCCTTAAGGTCCATCTAGTTTTTTGATTTTTCTAATTTTTATAGGCTTTATAAGTAGTTATATAGCACAAATAGATTTAGAAGGAGCAGCCTTTATTCCCTTACCCTTAGCATAGTAGCTACACACATTCCCCAACCCTATTATCCCATTCCATGCTCCCCATATCAATTCTACCCCCTGAATTCCAGCAGAAATGTTTAGTCTCTTGTCAAGGTAGGCCTATTTTGTTTGGAGAACACTTGTATCTTAGCCTAAACCACAGAGTACAGTCAAACTCTGAGTGACCATGTACCCTTTGTGCTCTGAAGAAGAGGATGATTGATGAAGAAAGGGTCCCAAAAAGACCCTCAACTCAATTCCCCAGGGATGGGTCAAGGGTGGCCTAGGGCAAGAGTCAGTGGGTGGACAAAACCTGGGATTGGACAAGCAGTATTATAAATTGTACCATCTGTACACAGGGGTATGCACACGTCTTGTAACCTTATGCCTAGGCACAAATTAAAACCCTTTCCTTATCTCACCTCCAAAACTAAATTGCCTCGGAGGTTTTTTTTTCTCCCTGAATTTTCTTTAGGCATCAATTTTAACAGCATATATTTCTCCTCATGGAGGCAGAGGCTTATATCTGTAGTCCAGAAGCAGCATTTAGCCTCTTGTCACTATTGAGGAGTTTTCACCGCATTCTGTTCCACTTAGGTAACTCCTTGAGTAACATATGCTCCATCTGAGCCCAGGAAAAACATAACTGCAAGTGGCATGCAAGTTACTGTACACACAGTTTTGTCCTTACTCTGCACAGCTGCCTAGCCATCCTTAGGATTTTCACTTTATAACAGAAATACAGCGCAAACCCTTGAAATAAATATCTTTTTCTTCTAATTACTAGCACCTAGCCATGATACAAAGGACATAAGTATTTATGACTTCAAGCATTCTTTGGATATTTAAATAAGAATCTTGTCTTTGTATCCACAAAGGCAGAACAAGCAGACACCACCTGAATAAACTTCAGTTAATTGTGCTAATGTGGGATGAGCACAGCAAGGACTATTTGTGCCACAGATATACAAATTTAGTTATGCATAAATTTTGAAACTCCCATCTGCAAAATTAGAACACCAAGTTCAGATTGCAATCCATACAATAAAGCTAATTAAACAACCTTCCCTCAACTGAGATCCATTGGGCTTTTTTTTTTTTTCCGATCTATGTAGAATTTCCATTTGCTTCCCACTCTGATAACTTCAAAATTCCTCTGTACTTCAGCAAAGCTTAGTGAGTGTCTCACTGCAAATTCGACATAAAGGCAAAATTCGGGCCAATTTTTTTCCCCATTAGCCATAGAGACATTAACAACTGAAATGAGAAAATTAATGGTGACAAGTTTCTTTTAAAATAGATGAAGCACCACCATTTCTATTTCTAAACAGTAGCTGATCCTTCAATGCTCTCTTGTTCTTAAAAAACCCCCAACTTTATTAAGAAGTTCATATTAAGTAGATTTCTCCCAAATATTATTAGGAAATTATTTCATTTTGAGGAAGATGGAATTATTCCAACACCAAATAAGTTCTCATTTATTCTAGATTTTCTTATGAAATGTGTGAAAACTGGACAGAGGCCTCTAAGTAAACTCAATAGGAAAACAGGGCTATTAGTTATTGAGTTTGTGCACCATATTTATATAAATATATAAAATACAGAAGAAGCTTCAGGAAAACATGCTAAGTTATTTCTGTCTCCTTGTAGGTCACCTAAATTACAACTTTTGAGTATTTCCCTTGAAAATCTAGAAATGCTTCTCTGAAGCAAGTGAAGTCTATCTAGAAATCATTATTAAAATTAATATCAATATCAATACATATCCTGTAAATTATAATCAATATCATTCAACAATATTTCTAAGCTTGGAAAGTCAAATAGCAAATGATATCTCATCTGAGAATCAAACCTATCTCCATAATTTCTACCTTCTTTCATAAATATGATGTATATTCTCAGTTTCCAGAATTCCCTTCATGAAGTAGCTGAAAATACCATTTTGTGAATCCTCACTCTGGATTTTAATCCTTTTAATAATGATAAACATTTCATCCTACTGAATGTGTTCATTAAGTAAAGTACTACCAAGCACAAATAAAACAGCACAATCTAATTTATAACTGATAAAAACAGTCATTACAGCTGCAGCAAACACTTCTCAGAGTCATAGTCTAGACCTCAATGGAAAAAAATATCAAGGCAAAGAAACACAAAAAGCAAAATGTGAATAGAACAACTCTCATATTCACTTGGCATAACAATTTCAGGTGTCCTAAGCTCCAGTTCAAACAACTGATGCTCATTTTTAACTGCAAGAACGTGGAAAAGCAAGCTGAAGTCAAGGTACGAGAGCTCTGATCCCTTGAACAGGTTGCATGGAATATAAAACATGCTATGTTGTTCTCATGTCAACATCCACAAATATTTTTGCTTACTTTAGCATAGTCTGCATTCTGCTGTGCGTATAAAACCTCCCTTTGAGCCAAGCACACGGTAAGGAAGACTCCAAGAGGTGTAGGTCAGGGAAAGTTCTCTCACCTGGAAAGTTCCTGCATGGTCTTCCTCTTTGTCACCTTCTTTTCCTTCCTTGAGGGCGATCAGTGTGAACCCTCGAAAGTAAGCAGGGGTGGCAGCAGAAAGTGTCACTGAGATACAATGAACAGAGAAATAACGAAAACATAATATTAATTGTGAAATCAGACACTTGCACATCATTTCACAGCTTGAAAGGTGTGTGTTTTAAGCTGGTATTAATCAAAGCTAGCTCGCTAACAACACGGAGCCAAGCCAACCAGAACACAAAATGTTCAGTCCAAGTTTCCACGTAAACTGAACAACACTGGCATGATGTGAAATAACCCCAGCCCTTTTGTTTTTTAAAGTAGATTTATAATCTGCTCAGATCTAAAGAGGGTTATTTCATTGTTGGTTTGGGGGTGGGGAGACATGTTAGGGGTTTTTTTTGTTGTTGTTTTAAATGTGAGGGAGCATTTCCTAAATATTTGCATTCAGCTTTTGCCCTGCTCTGAGCACAGACAAGGATCCAGGGATTTTAGTACCCAGAAAGTCTCTCTAACTGTAATGGGAGATGACCACATTGCCCACTTCAGCTCAGTTACACTCAGCACAGCACTCCAGCTGGTGGAAATGGGGAATCTTAACTCTCCTTTTGCTTTATCCTCAGGGTAAAACAGGATACAAAGTTAAACTCATGGCTAAAGCTGACCTCTAAATATTGTGCTGCCAGCTCTGATTCCTAAACCATCCCACACATCAGCAAACACACTCTTCACTCACTTGTCCTGACCAGGAAGGCAGCATTAGATCCACCAGGAGAGAACCGATAACATCATGCTGACTAATCTGATTTTATCATGCTCAGCATCACAATTAAATCCCTCATTTTCTGCTAGTGCAAGATACCTTTGTACAGTTTTTCTGTTTGCCATCATCAGCACCCAAGCAGCACCCAGCAACACTTGAGCTACATCAGCTGAGGCTCTTTTGAACACTTTTCAGAAAGACACAATGAGGCAGAGCTTTGAGACAGGACTTCTGAAATTGCCAAACCCTTTTCAGCAACTTATGAGAATCCTCTTCTGAAGCAGGGGTAAATTCTAGGGGAAAATTCTTTTTGCATGAAAGGAAAAGAGACAGAAAATTGAACTATGAATACTTTTAAGTAGCTTTTACTTGAAGCGTATTGAAGACAGCTTTGCTTGTGGTACATTATTGTCACACTCTCCAACTCTGACTGGCACAATTAAAACTGAAGACCACACACAGTTTTCATGAGCAAACCACAACTACCAGTGCTGCTTCACTGAAGGTTATCCAGAATAGACTCCCTCTCACACAGATAGACCATGAGGGGATGAATCACCTTGCTAAAAATGATAGGTAGCCCTCACAATATATGTATTTCAAAATACGCCCAGAGTTCATTTGGAACACAGCGAGAGAGCTTTGATCTAGAAATTCAGTAGTGGAAAAATATAAAATAGGCTATTTGAAAATTTCTAGCATTATGCAGCTGTATTTGGGTCTAAAAATCATGATGTGCTGTACAAATACACAACTTTTCTGGCTACATGTGGAGAAAAAAAGGATTGGAGAGACTCAGTTCAATTTTTAACCTTTTGAGAGTGCCATGCTTAGACCTGTAGACCTGAAAACACCAATACAAATTCAGAGTAGTGATTGACATAATCCCTCAGCTCTCAGGATTTTCAACACAGTTTTCATTCCATGGAATTTTATTATGAGGTTAAACATTATAATTTTGAGGGAGAAAGAAAATTTCATATTTTATATACAGAAACTGAGTAGGAGCGTTCCACCATTAAAATTTCTGCTTACTTTTCCAAATATTTCTCCAATTCATTAATTCAGTTTGTATGATTAGTCTAATTTTGCAAACTTCTGCACCTCTACCCAAATGAAAACCCACAGTCAGCCAGCCTCTCAGTTGCAGTAACTGAGAACAGCACACTGCTAAACCCAACAAGGGCAAATATATTACTCTTGCTTGAGCACTAATTCTTAGAAATTAACTGCCACAAAAGTCTTGTACGTGCAACAAATTTTCCCATACCATTTGCAATTCAAAAGTCTGAATCACTATGAGTAAAAAGTGACACCAGAAATACTTAAATACGTATGCAAGCAAACGGAGAATCCAGCTGCGAACTGACTCAACTGTTTTCATCATTTTCCTCACAAATTCACAGATCAAACCAAACAGTTTTCAAAATTCTAAATATTCTAAACAAACATGTATCTATAAAACAGAGGACATCTGAAATCCAACAGAAGCATCAAAAGAGAAATAAAAAAAAGAAAAAAGGAAGGTAATTCCAAAGCCTGACTCACAGTTTTTGGATGCCTGGGGTTAGCAATACTCATGCTGTGGTTGTAGTCATTTAAACGCAGAATAAATCCATGCTTCCTCCAACATGAGTGATCCCACCCTCCCCAGCCTGCACTGCTCACACAGCAGCCACATCCAGGCAGCTGTGCTCTCAGCTGGGCTAGGGAACACATCCAGCTGAGCAGTAAAACAAGCCAACCCCAAGTGGAGAGTTCAGCTGGGTCCAGTCCCCGAGCGGCTGCTCTGCAGGCCTGGGAGCGCTTCTGCCAGCGCTGGGGACACACAGATACAAGTGAGGAGCCAGGAGGGTAAAGACCTGCAGGAGCAGAGTGGACTCATGGGATTTTAGTGCCTGTGCAACCTCAGGTCAAGGATACCAAGAGGGATGTGTGCTTTGGTCACCCCTGAGTTAGGCCAGAACACAGGTTAGCACCTGAGCTGAAAAGGTTTCTGTGAATTGTCTGAACTAGCAGTGTGCTGAGAACATCACAGCACAGGGGTTTATTCCAAGCACTCCTAATGCAGAGCCTTGTTCTGGGGATGGTTCTGTAGTCACTGGCTCTGGCCTCAGTGTCTCAGCACAGCAGAGGCTCGCACTGCACAGGCAGCTGTGGGAAGCTGTCAGACCACATCTGGTTTTCACAAGAGAGCGGCTCTTTGTTGCAAAAGAGCTGAGAGTTCTCCTTCTTGGGCTAAACTCCGCCGTTTTAAACAACAGCTGAGTATCGCTCACACTGTGTGCACGCTAATTAATGTTCACTGAACAATATGAACTTCCTGTAAAGACCAGTTAAGATCAGTGCAATCTCAAAGTTAAGGATTTTACTTTAAAGGGAAGATTACATATCAGCAGTTACTTTTGTCTGCTTCCATCCCCTCCAGCAAATATCTAATTACCTTACAAGTTGCCCTTTGGCACATACCTTGACATGCTCCTCTTTCCCCAGTGTCCCAAGCTAAAGGTGGGGTGATCAAAGCAATTGCTCCTTTGGTTTCAGGCAGGAAATCTGACTTCCCACATCCTACACTACTCCACATCCTGTGCTGTACATTGCACAAGTACCAACAAATACACTTTCAATATCTACTTTTATCCATATTTTGTGAAAGATGAGAATGGCTAAAAGAGTTACAGTATGAGTGCTCATTTGTAAAGCATAGAGAAGCATTTGCTTGTTGAGTGGCAGAAAGAAATGGAAAGAAAACGTCTCAACATTCCTTAGAAGAGAAGCCCCCAAACCAATGCAATGAAGTTTCAAAAGAGCACATTAAAAGAGCCTTTCCTCAAAGACAGAGAAAGTGAACTGACCTACAAGTGGAAATTCCATTAAAAAGAGAAACAGCATCCACACAGAAGGTATGTCTACAGATTATAACTGGTCAAATCTCCCTCTTTTCTTCAAAACTTCATGATACTATAGTGGAAAGTATGTCCACTGCATGTTAGCACATGAAATGGACATACTGTCTTTATATTTTAATGGGATTAAACTTGCCTCACCTTTTCATGGAAACCTCATGCAATCATTAATCCAACTCAACAATCAATAAAGCTAGGAGTGAGTATTTTCAAGGATCATTACCCTGTAACACTACCTAAACTTAAGGCTTGCTTGTGCCTTTGAGTGCAATGGGAACTTTAACATTTAGTGGAAGCACGAGCATCTACATCAAGGTCAAAGTTAACCAGCAGGTAGGAGAGGACCTCGACCCCAGGATAGTGTGCCCATAAACCTGGGACTACAGGAAGACCTGCCCACCAAAATGCATTTGGCTGCCTTCTCAAGGGGAGAGACAACAACCTCACAGCCTGAACGACCAGGCAGATAAGGCCACTTGCAGGCTACAGCATCAGAAGTCCCAAATAAGGTGTCAGAAATCAGTTGTGCCACTTCCCCTGTGAGACACCACGAAGACCATAGCCACTGTTGCTTTGTTAGACATGAGGGAGGAAAGGAGGGTGGCTCCTCAGTCCTGCTGCTACCTCACTTTTAATCATCTGAGACAGGAGAATGTGCCCTTATTTACTGCTGCCAGTGTCTGCAGACCAGGGGAGGTGCATACCCACTCAGAGGGGTTATTCAGTACTCAGGGCCACTGTTCTCTGTCACAGCTCCAGAGGTGGAAAACCAAGGCTTCACAGATCCATACACACAGATACACCCAGGATTTCCCCTCGGGGCAAATAGGTTCTGATTGATCTAAAGGTGAATAGCTGCAGAAGAGCCCTAAAAACTTCCCCAAAGACAAATGGCAGCTGTGAATTCTGGTCTGATTCCCACACTGCAAGAGTGCTGAGATATTTCCTCCAGCCACTGCAGCTGGAGGGTCTTACACAAGTGTCACATCAAGCCATGAGTGAGACCATCATGAAGATAAATGGATGACCCTCTACTGTCACACTTTGGGGAGTACAGCATTTGCATGTACAGCTAATTCCTATGTTATCCACCTTGAAAATACTAGTTTACTCCAAGAGCCCACTAGGGAATGTGCCAAGGATCAAGATTGCATTAAATCAAGCAGGGGCCATGGAAATAAGGCATATTTGGCTCCAAGGCAAAGGAGGTTGTGCAAGTCCTTTGCCATGCTGCATATATAGTAATTTGCAGCTGAAAAAAAAAATGCAGACCTGACATAATAACTAATTGTTTGAATCATTAGTTGGATTTTCTACCCTTTGTATAAAACAGTAATAAAATTCCAGTTGTACTGCAGAAATTCCTTTGAAAATGAGCTCTTAAAACTTTCTACATGCTGTTAGTTTTAACTACTGCCATAGATAATGTATATGTTTCAGTAACATTTACTTATGTTCTTCCAACCATTCAGGAAGTGTCCTTAAATCACAATCTTCGCAGGCTAATGTACCACCTGAATACTTCAGCCTAAAGTATCAGAAATGTAGGCACATATTTCGTTCTACATTTTAACTTTTTTCTATTAGCTGTAATTTTCTCACTTCCAAGAAGCTATAATATCCTAATGTGGTTTTATTAATTGAGTTCCTAATGTCAAGACCTAATATCTCCCAAAAATTAGTTCTGCTAATTCATCTGGGAATTTCTTTCTTCCTACATCTCCATGCAAAAGAAACTTCTTTGTAGATGACTGAAAATACCCAGTAATGCTTTTACAGGAGTGGATTCCAAAACTTTTAAAGAACATTCACATTTGTCACTATCAAAGAACTTGACACATCTTTATCCTGCTTAGTAGATGTATCAAACTGACATGCAACATGAAATCTTTCAGACTCAAGGTACTAATCCTAATGTCTGGAACAGCTAACCAACTTGTGGGACATGTGCATTTCCTCACACCACATTAAAATAAAACATTTTTTGAGAAAAAAATCAAGTAAAATCATGCATAGTTACAGACTGGTGTTCGAAACAGGTAAATCACTGCTGCAGATGTATTTTTCAACCTCTGAGAAAACACAATGATTATGTTACGTGCACACTTTTTTCTCCTTATCTATACTAAGATTTCCATGTTTGTGCAATTAGAAAACACTGCTGTTTATCCTGAACCTAAGAAAGGTCAGAAGAAACACTTAGAATAATCTCCCAAAATTTTTTTTCCAAAGTCATGCCTACAAAGTGCATTAGTTACGGAACTTTAAAATGTCCCAATTCTTTTTAAAGTGCTTTTAAAATACAAGGTTAACAGTACATTCCAAGAAGGTTTATTTCCAAAGCATTATATAGTGAGGGAGAAAAGTGACTAAAACCTGCCTTTGCCTATTAATTAGAAAAATACACTGAAATGTGCTTTGGACTTCATTTCAAGGATTGTATGTGACATGCTCAAGGAAAAACGAATGCCTCCATCTCTTATTTACAGTGGTCATTAGCACTGTCTCTGGTTCTTTCCTGTTTGAACCATCTGTTCATTTACCCAGAAGAAAAAGGGGGTGGGATAAACGCAAGTGGAAAATGTGGGAAGTTGGCAGCATGCTGCATCACTGTTTGCCCATATGCTAACTCATTATATTAACATTCATATTTCAGGGCAAGAGCAATTAGCTCCGAGTTTCTTCTTCTTCCTTCCCAATGCTAAAGCTTCTCCTGTACACTGTGTTACGTTTGAAGGGATGGGAAGAAATCCCACAGAAGTAGGTAAACGGGGGAAGAGTGCCGTTTCTATCACGGCAACTTGTGATCTTGTGCTAGCGCTGAGCCGGTAGAGAGGGTTCATAAAGGGAAGGAAATTCCTCTTAATGAGGAATGTTTGGGAGTAAAGTGATACACTGAAATCCAACTCCCTCTCACTTGTCATGAAAGCATCCCCAATAAAGTAATGCGTAGGAGTATATTACCCTGTCTTAACCCACACAGTCACACACACACGCCAAGAGGGATCCAGAGATGACAGGCAGAGACACGTTACAGTCTCAGAGCCACTCATCCTGGCCATCGTCGCTAGCATGGGATGTAGAGGATGTCCAACTTACCCCGGTAACTGTTTCCAGGCTTGTAAAATTCTGGATCGCCCTCCACCCTGAGGCTGAATTCATTGTACCCTTCCCTCCTGGTGCCTTGGGCTCGCAGGATCCGACTGCAATATCCCTCGGATTTCGCGGCTTTCTCCAAGGTTTCGTCGGAAAAACCCTTCGCCACCAAGGGGAAAGTCAGCGCCAGGAGCCGCAGGGCCAGCGGCTGCAGATGCGCTCCCATCCTCGGAGCAACTTTTTATCGCCGGGGCGGCGGTGCCCGGGAGCGGGGCAGGGTGGGCGCCGGGCCGGGAGGCGGCAGGACAGACAGGACAGGGCAGGAACAAGGCAGGGCAGGGCAGGACAAGGCAGGCAGGGCAGCGCGGTCTCGGGCAGCCCCAGCCGGCAGCGGCCCCCAGCGTGAGCCTGCCAGGTCGGATCGGAGGGACCGGCTCGGCGGCTGCCGGGGAGAGGGAGGGGAAAAGCAGGGAGGGGGCAGAGAGGGAGGGGAGGGGAAAGGAGGGGAGGGAAGTCTGATCTTGCCCAGATCCCGAAGTGAAGTGCTGTTTTGTTTCAGAGCGTGTGATTAGCAGCTCGGTGGTGTTTACTTAGCCGAGGGAATTCACAGGGTTTGGTGGAAGAGCGGAGCAGGGGACGCTGCTGTCTCCCAGACACCCAGCGCGGAGCTGCTGCCGCTCGGGCTGAGCCCACAGACCTGAAATCAATCACCCGCATTCCTGCCAAAGTCTATAGTTACTGTAGGGATAACAAGGCTTAAAGAATTTCCCGACACCCCTCCACACCCCCATCTTTCTCCAAACCAGCAGACATGATAAACATTACCAACTAAATGAGCGCAGATGGACCGAGACAGCCGCTTGCTCGCTGCACGCCTGGCAAGCGAGGAGCATAGGCTGCAGCTTCTCGGGTACCACGGAGGAAAGATGGGGAAGCGGATGTGCCAGAAACATGAGATTCATTTCTACATCAGCCTGCAGCTGTGCACACCCGAGATGCAGCCTATGTGAGCGCACTCACAACAGCTGTGAACACAGTTCACCTCAGTGAATGTGGGAGGTCTGCTCCAACACCCGGAAAAACCCAAGCAGATGCAAACAGCAGAAAGCGAGGAGAGAGCAGGGCTCATTATTTTGCTTTTACACAGGGCACACTGAGGCGCAATGACACTGAAAGGCTTATCTAAATCCACAAAAGAAGATTACAGCAGTGGTAAAAAGAAAAAGTGAACCTAGACCCCTGCGGTTAGCTGATCTTCTGATCTGCTGATCTTCTCTCTCTCCTTCCCTCCACTGCTTTGTAAGTGGAGGAAAAAGTCAGAAAGGTCTTCAAGCAGGACTTGAATACTTTCAGGATGCCAGATGTACAAGAGGGCACAAACCCCTTTCTAACCACTTTCTCCAGGAGTGGACTGTAGCAGACTCGTGAATACAACCACATTTAAGCACAACTTCCAAGAAAGTATGAGAAAGAGCAAGCAGCTTGAAATCCTGCTAGAACCTACTAAGGCATTTGCTAGCATCAGATTTGCAAATTTTTGATTTCCAAACTTCCCTTTGGAAGTTGATTGGCAACAACCTCATGTTGTGTGACAAATAAAGGTGTTTCTCCAAGGTGTCCATGAGAATGTGGAACTTACTTCCTAAAAGGCTACTTGCCAAGAGCTTTGCTACTGTAAGATTATTTATATTTTGGTCTCTATGCTACTTGTTTATAAAGAAAACAGCCTCAAAATAAACATTCAGCAAAGATAGTGCTAGCATTTGGATGAGATTTTACCTTTTATTGCAAACAGGGAGCAGCTGACAATGTCTCTACACATGCCTGTGAAGAGGTGGCAGCCAAGCTCTCAAAACCACTGAGTTGTAACATCCAATTCTTAAGCACGTGCCTGCTTGGGCACCTGCAGCAGTGGCTGGGGTACCATTTATATTGCTTCTATCAGAGCACTTGGAGAACCAGGCTGACTGCAGAGACTTCCATTGACGAGAAAAGAGTTTGACTACGGGAGGATAAGCAGCCTTTCCAGCACAAGTTGCTTTTTCTGTTCCTCTCATCCTACTGAATGAGGGAGAATGAGCAATCCCGACTACAGTGTAATGTGCCAGGTCATCTGCCTCCACTCAGCCTGCTTCCTTCACTGTTCCCCTGCCAGTATGAGGGCAAATCAACTCATCATCTTTAAGGCAACAATATTCAGTCTGCTTTTGCTACTGAAGCTTTGAGCTGGCATAGCTATGCAGAATATTTTGTTGTATGATTCCAAAGACCCACGTTCATTGGGTAATGAAGTGACTACAATTCAGTAATGTCATAGACTCTTGGGTCTCATTTGACCATGATCATGTCATTCATTTTATAAGAACAAACTTTGCTTAATCCAGGTTCTTCAGCCAAATTTATCAGTGAAGAGGAGCAAACTCTGAAATGGATAAGACAACTGTAGCCATACTGGTACAAGATGCCTGGGAATTTGATCCATTCTCCACACTTGACTTCTCATTTCTTTTGCTGAGATTGATTGAAAAGCAATTACCTGACTAAAGCATTCACACCAGGAACCACACGGGCTTCTGCTCAATCCAGCTTTGTTTTGAGCCAGAGTTTTGTGTTCTAACTCCACACTCCTCAAAGGAGATCATTTCAAGTCCTTTTCAGACTTTTAGGTGTTTATGTGTAACTAATTCATCAGCATCTATTGATTCTAAACTTTCAATAGATTCTATAAATCTTACTTTTTCATTTCCTTATTGGTCTGGCCCGTTACTTATAGTTTCTTTTTTGTTCAAAAGCTGAAGTGCAGTAAAGTTTCCTTGAAAGGTGTAATGAAGTGTCTTGTTAAAAGTGAATGCTTCAACTTAGCAACTGATACAGATAAATTAACTTGCACTGCCTACAGCCGTGAAATGAGTAATTTGTCGTAGAGATGGTTTAGAATGTGGGGAATTTCATTAAGCATGGGCATCCTCGGGGTTTTCTATTTGTTCTACTAATTAGAGTGTGTTTGCCTAAAGCATCCAGCATGATGTATCAGTCAAAGATGCATGCAAACTGATGAATCCAACCATCCATGGCAAATTTAACAGAGGAAGCCTCGTAGCTTGGAGACTGCAGCGCTTCTTTCCTTTGTGTACTTTCTAGGATGAATAAAGTTGCTGTCCATGACTATTAGGCATAACAATCATTACTGGGATAATATTGCATCTGACAGAGCTGTAATGGTTGGAGGAAACTCTCCACCCTCCCCCTCAGCACCCCTTCCCCCCCAAAGTGGGCTTTTCTAACAAAAAAAAAATCATTTCACAAGATCAGCAGTCTTTCTCACTTTTAGCTTCTGCAATAAGGAGCCTCTTTTAAGTGGCACTTCAGAAGACTGCACTAGCTACTGCAGAATATCCCTGCACTGGGATGGAAGATCTGATAGGTGGAATTTAAATTGTTTTCTTTCTGCTTCTATGATTTCAAATAGTTATTTGAAATCTTGGGAATTATCTATAAAACAACAGTGTGCAAATGCAATGCTTGACTTGACAACATCTGATTTTAGGGACCTTAGCCCTTAAAGTATACCAGTACCTCAGGTAACTTGCCTGGGCTGTAGGATTCACCTCCCTGAACCCAGGAGCTGGAAACTTAAGCTCAACTTTAACATCTTATATAAATAAATATAGTAATAATAACGACAGGAGAATCCATCTCTTTTGCAGGATGACTTGCAAAAATGATACCTACTCTCTCACTCTCTCACAGTGACTGAAATACCCCTGCAGAATGTCAGGTACGTGGGTTTCAGTTCCTTGCTTGGTTTGGATCTTCAGATCTCCATCTCTCACTTCTCAGGAAGCTGCTAATCATGAAAAATCTAAGTCTTCTGGAAACACTCTCAGTCCCTTGTGGAAATTCTAGACTTCTAAAGTTAACCTGAAGCTCAAATGAGAGAAAGAAAATTGAGGATGGTGTATCAATTAAAATGCATTTTCCAGAGACTAAAAAGGTGCCTTTTCCTTCTCCTCAGATATTAACTGTACTGGGATCAAAAGCTATTTGGGGGAACTCACACTTGAAGTTCCTAGTAAGTGCAGTCTGAATACCTCTAACAAATTAGGAGACACCTGTTGAGGCAAGTCCCCAAAAGATGTTTTCCTCATGAGCTAAATATTCAGTTGCTCACAAGTGCCAAGACAGAGGATGCTGCTGTTGGGGCTAAGGAAGAGTGCATTGGATGACTGGCAAAACAACAGTGCAATACAATCTGCAATAAAACTTTTGGTGACTGGGAGGGTAAGCAGGGAATTTGGGGATTGCACTTTCAAATATGCCTATCTCACTTTCAGATCCTTATGTGTTACTATAGATTTAGGTTTTAATCTAATATGCATCTCTCTCCCTCTCCACTGCCCTAGCAAGCACAGTCACTTTTTCTTTAACAAGACAGAAACTCACTCTATTGATTTAGATGGAATAATAGTCGTGTTGCTATTAAAATTCCCCTCTATCTATAGCAAGAATGAGGCTTTTCTAATACAAATTGGTTCGTGCTGTCTTTGAAGAGTGTTTAGAAAGGGATCTGGAGATATCTGCTGTCCTATTAGACAGAGGAAAGAGCTTGGGAGACACTTAAAATGATTTCTTACTGCTCTGTAGCACTGTTCTTGGCTTCTTTTCTCTTCAGAATCTAAGTAGTGACGAGTAATGACAGTATATGTTTGCAGAGGTCTGTTTGCCATTTATACTACTGTCAGTCAACACAATGTATCTCCAATATTAAAGTTCCCAGTAGCTCGTTACATTTGCCTGTTCAGTCATGCATGTCTTCAGCATATTTTTACACTGACAATAAAGAGTTTTCATTTCCAATACATTTTATAGAAATATTTGGTTCCTGGCATGATGAGAATAGCATTATACATATTACTAGAGAAACACTGCAATGCTGAGAGAAACAGGGAGAGAGACCAGCTCTGTTAATGTTTCTCTTTGGCTTAACTGGGGCAAAAACTGAATGAAGCTGGAAAACCAGCACAGAGGCTGCAAAAGATCTAGGAAAGTCTCACCAGCACCCCGGATAACACAGGCAGAATGGGATTTAAACTAAGGCTCCTCTTGAATGGATTTTTCAAGGCCAAATGTTGACAGAAACTCATCTTCCACACACAGTCTGTTTTGGGGAGGAGGTTTGCTAAGGAAAGACCCAGGGTTCTTGGAATATTTAAACTCAGGATTCGT